GAAGGAGGATTATAAAAATGATGATATCTGCCTATGTGTTTTCATAAAGAAAACAAGTATTGGATTTGCAATTGTGCAATTTATGTTGATAATTTAGTTTTAATTGAAACTCTTGAAGAACTCAACAAAATTGCAAATTATTTGAAAAATGAATTTGAGATGAGGGATTTGGAAAAAATCAAATTTTATCTTAGATTGCAGATCGAACATTTTCCAAAAGGATTATTTGTTCGTCAATCTACTTATTTAGGAAACGTCTTAAAACACTTCATATATGAATAATGCAAATCCATTGACATCGCCTATGATTATGAGGGCACTATTGATTTAGGATTATTTTATTCACAAAATCCAAGATCTGCTTTAGTGGAATATGCAGATGCGGACTTTCTCTCTGATCCATATAAAATTAAATCACAAACAAAATGTGTGTTTACACATGGAAGAACAGCTATATCATGGAGATTTGTGATACAAACCTCAACAACAACATCCTCAAATCATTCTGAAATTATTGCAATTCATAAAGTAGGCCGAGAATGTGTATGGTTGAGTAATATGACCCATCATATCCACGCATCATGAGGATTAACTTCAACGAAAGATAGTCTAACAATTTTGTATGAAGAGAATCCTGCTTGTATTGCACAACTCAAAGAAGACTATATCAAAGATGACATGACGAAGCATATTTCTCCAAAATTCTTTCATACTCATGAGCTTCAAAAAAATGGTGACATCGATATTCAACAAATTCGCTCAAGTAATAATGTGACAGATTTGTTCATAAAAACATTGCCAACATCTACATTCAAAAATTGTTTCAAAGGATTGGAATTCATTGAAACAGATTTTCAGTGATTTTCATCAGGGGGAGTAGCTGTACTCTTTTTTTCGTAGTTTATGTTTTGTCCAACTGGGTTTTCTTAGCAAGGTTTTAATAAAGCGGCATTTTCTTTATACTCCAAAAATATTAACAATAATTGTACCTTTTTTCCTTGGTTTGATTTTTTCGCTGAATTTTTATCAAAGAAGATTTTAACAAGGCAATTATTGTACAAATAATCATCAAATGTAGAGTGTTGTAAAATAATGCGATAATTTATTAATAATTATCATGGTATATAGATAAGTTTTATCTAGTTTAGAAGATCTACTTTATTTCAATTATAACTCTTATTTTGGACCTTATAAATATAAGACATTGGTTCTTAATAATACATACTTGAATTTTAATTCTTATATTTTTCTCTCTTTTCATAACAATTTAAATGAAAAAATGACATTGTTTTTTAAAAAAATAAAGTTAATCAAATTCATTCTTAATTTATTAGTTGGGCGATGTTTGTTGTACAACCCTCTGGACATCCACGGGATTGTGTTGCGCCCCCTTGGGGTTGTTCAAAGGCTTTTCCCTATTAGTTATCGGAATGTGCTAGACGTACTACATAGTTTAAAAAATGCTTTACTACATGATGACGTGGCATATGTTTGAAAATTCAACATCTCGACTATCAATTGTCAATTAAAAAAAAAGAAAGAAAATGAAATAAAAAGGTGCCATGTTTGTTCTCTGGACATTTCCATTCCATTATCCAATCTCAGAGCATGTCTGGCATGATGAAATGGAGCCACCTGAAAACCCATTCCAAGATGCCGACGACTTGGATGATGGGGTCCACACATCGGTGAACCCATTATTCTTATCCCCATTTGCAGTCGTTGCTGAGAACTTTGTTATAAAGACGAAGATGAAGTGGAAGTCAACAACTTCCACGTCTACAACTGCGACGCCGGCGACAACATGGGTAAGATGTTTTCAACTTAAGCTTTACTTTGTTGAAGTTAATAGAAAACGAATATAGGTAGTTTGTTGAAGATATTATTTTCTGCCATTTTTGTTGAACATATTATTGATGAAGATTTTATTTTCTAGTCGCACATGGAGTTTGCTCAAAGCCAATATGTTAAAATAGACGCCTTTAATTAATGAAATCAGTCAAAGCCTTTACCAATTTTGTTGGATTATATATGACTGGTTTGAGAGAGAAAACATGAAGTTGTTTAGAGACCAAACCTTTGCTGCCCAAGTTTTTTGTTGTTGTCGAATTTTATATCTTCTCATTTGAGAGCATTTGCCTTATACTCCATAGATTGTGAGTTCAATTGTTTCTTTGTCGTAAATGCAGGTTATTTGGAAATTCATTCGTTCGAAGAAGACAATTCGATTGATATGAGCTTAGGAGAAGGAATTGATATTATTGTGCCCAGTGTTGGAAAGAAGTTTCAAGATGAAAATGAGGTATTCGAATTTTACAAGAACTATGCATACCAAATAGGTTTTTCAGTGAGGAAAAGATCTTCGAGGAAGGGTGATGACAGCGTTGTACGTTCCGTAACTTTTACATGTAGTTGGGAGGGCCATCGAATTAGTGGTACAAATGCAATTCTGAAGCCTCAGCCAACAATGTAAAGCAAGATTGATGACATGATCAAAACTTAATGGCACATGGCATATTAACGCTATCCATCTGGAGCATAATCACAGAACAAGCCCATCCAAATCAAGACTATATCAATGTAATCAAGAAATAAGTGCACACATAAGAAGACAGCTTGAAATAAATAATGTAGCTAGTATACCATTACATAAGAGTTTTAACTCAACCGTAGTTGAAGCCAGCAGTTATGATAAGATTACATGTGTTGAGAAATATTGTAGAAATTTAATTGAAAAAGTTCGACGATTACGACATTGTGAAGGAGACCTGTTGCAACACAAGTGTATTTTTCGAAAATGCAAGTAACCAGTCATGGTTCTTCTTTAGTATAGACTCAGGTGAGGAGGCCCAATTGAGGATCTTTTTTTGGGTAGATAATGGGTGCAAGCAAACGTGTAGGGAATTCGGTGATGCAGTTATATTTGACACCACATACTTGACAAACAAGAACGAAATACTTTTCGCTTTTTTTGTTGGGGTTAACCATCGTGGACAATCAACTCTACTTGGATATGGTTTGATCTCAAATGAAGATACAGGGACTTTCGTATGGCTTTTCAGGACATGATTTCAATGTATGCATGATCAAGTTCCAAGTGGAATAATTGCAAATCAAGATCGTGCTATGTAAAATGCAATTAAATTGTGTTTCTGAACACAAAGCATAGATGGTGCCTGTGGCATATTCTAAAAAAGTTACCAGAAAAATTCGATAGCCATAGATATAAAGCTTCTATTATTGCTACTGTGCATGGGTTGGTATAGGATGTGCAAAGTTGTGAAGAGTTCGAACAAGGTTGGAATAAGATGCTCGAAGATTACGAATTGCTAGAACATACTTGGTTGACTAGTCTATACAATGAAAGAAGTTGATGGGTGCCATGCTTTTTGAAAACTTCATTTTGGGGGGTTATGTCAACCACACAACGAAGTGAGGGTATTAATGCATTTTTTGATGGCTATGTTCATTCAAAAAATCCCTGAAGCAATTTGTAGAGCAGTATGAGCGTGCGTTGAGAAGTAAAGATGAAAAAGAATTTCAAGCCAACTTTAAATCATTTTCACACATGGTCCCATGTGCGACCAGGTATGAAATGGAGAAGCAATTTCAATCTGTTTACACAATCGCGAAGTTCAAGGAGTTCTAAGAACAGCTTATCGAAAAGGTATATTGTGAAGTCTTATCCGCTCATGATTCATACTTGTATACTACATACGATGTATGCAAGGACATTATTATCAATGAATGTGTGAAGACGAAAATGTTTAAAGTGTGCTTTCGTAGAGATGAATGTGATTTTGAGTGTAGTTGTCATCAATTTGAGTTCCGAGGAATTTTTGTAAGCACGCAATTGCAGTTTTGATAGGAAACCAAGTGAAATTAGTTCCCGAGAAATACATTATGAAGAGATGGAGGAGTGATGTGAACAGACCATACACAAGGGTTTTTGATCAATTATGATGGTTGGATTAGTACTCCAGATCAAGTTAGATATGAGCAAATGTGCAATGCATTTATGAAGTTAGCTAACTTGGTAGCACATGATGAGTCACGGTCACATGAAATTATGGAGTGGATTGAATTCCAAATAGCGTAGTCGTCAATGTTGAAGTCTGTGACCAAGTACTTCCAATGCTTTAATGAGCAGGAAAATCTGTCGGCGACTTTGACCCGAAATACACGAAAAGTAAGGGAGTTCCTAAAAAACTTCGCTGAAAAAGAATATTTAGAAGTTTATCCTAATGTTTGATTTTGAGCCAATTTAATACACACACACACACACACATTGAAACTATTGTTTTTTTCCATTGCATATAGGTGGCAACAAACATAAGTACATCGAAAAGGCACAAAGGCAAAGTTTCACCCCATTAATGTTCAGGTATTTGAGCATGACAAAATATAAGCCAACTTCACAAAGTTTGAGTTTCCATGCAAAATATTTGAACATGACTTTATTAATTCCATTTGTCAGGATATTCGGCTAACAACCACCTTTCCTTCCCAACAAGTTGGCACACAAGAGAGCGTTGGTGAATTTGATTTAGGGGTCTATAGCATCCACAGAAATTTGGCTGTATATTTTTGTAAACGATTAACTGACATGCTCCACATGGGTGATTTTTATATAGGGGTCTAAAGCATTTAGAAACTTTTGGTTGTATATTTTTGTAAACAGTTAACTGACATGTTTTATTTTGGATTTTATACATTTTGTGTAGATGGCTAATTGGAGTGTTTGATGTGGTGGATAGTTGGAGGCTTACTACGTAGAAACTTTGTATTTAATTAATGAAGCTAGTTCTCATTTAATGCATTTCTGTTGCCATATTATCATGTTAGTTGGTTCTTGGTTGTTTTCAATATTGGTGGTTGTCCCTTTCGAAACAGGTAACATTGCTTGAAACATAACAAAGTGATATCAAAACTTTTTCCAACTAAGAGCACAGTATATAATGGTCATGACAGTATCAAACATCTACTATTGATACAAAACAAAGCAAAGTACATAGTTCGATAGTCTTATTCGTGAAACCAAATAATTACAATATATCAAGCTCATCCAACTAGTTTCCCCTTGCATGTGGTTATGTTGAGCAAAATCTCCATGCTCCTCTCTTCAGTTATTTTTGCACACTTTTACACCATATGGGACAAATTTAGAAAAATTGAAACTCGTTCCACTTGATTCACCTTGCAATAGATACTTCTTGTTGGGCGAAACTTTAAAAAACTTGAAAAACCTATAATCGTAGGTGTAACAATGGATCAACTTCCCTTTATTGTCAGAATTTCTTTTAATGTCAAATTCCTCTGTTCCTCCTGGCCATTCCACACAATCTGAACCAATTAACTTGCGTGCTGAGTCCAAAAAAAAAAAATTCCATGTCAATAATCCAATGGATAGACTTCTTTGAGGTCCTAATACCACAAAAATGAAGCATTCCACAGCTTCAACAAATTAAACTCAAGCATTATAAATATAAATATAAAAAAAAAAATACATTCCATATGAGAAATTGTATGAGATCCTAGCATCACAAAACTGAGCATTCCATAACTTCAACACTCAAGCTGTATCAATGTACAATAAAACCCATTCTACAAAAGAATTCGCTAACACCACATAAATGAAGCATTCCACAACTTCAACAAACTCAACTCGAGCAGTATAAATATACACATAAAATCCATTCCACACAAGAATTCGTATGAGGTCCTAACACCACACAAATGAAGCATTCCGCAACTTTAGCAAGCTAACCTCAAGCAATATAAATGTACACACAAAATCCATTCCACAACTTCAACAAGCTAAACTCAAGCAGTATAATTTGTCCAGACCCACTTTGTTCGAAATGGAGTTTACCATACACTCACTGAGTCACTGATTTTTCAAAATAGCAAGTAAAGCCAAACTTTTTAGAGATAATACTAGTTGCAGTGTGTCACCAGTGATGGGTGTGGATGATTTTACAATTGGCGACGGGGCACGGGAAGGAATTGGCGCTCTCAATGTCTCTCACACGCGAAACAGAAAGTGAATAGCTACTAACCTGGAGAGAGCTATATCTTATGTGATTGTCTTTTCTTCGCCAGAGGTAGTTGTGCCGACGAGATTTATTTAGTTGGACCTTAGAGGTGCGGATCGTGAGAGAGGAGTGCAAGATGAAGGGAAGATGGTTTGATTTGGGGCAAAGTGCTTCTGGCCAATTTTGGAGGGTTTATTCAAATTAATTTGTGAGCTGGCGAGATTTTCATGGTATTTTGGATTTGATTGGGCTGTCGGTATTTTCATTACAAAATATGACATGTCAGCATTTTGTATAAGATTCGGAATTATATCATGTACATATATCTTTCACCTATGTTGAATGTACAGAGTAGGGGTTCACAGAACCCCTCCAAATAAGACACATGGGGTGGGCTCCATGTAATTAATATATTATCAAAAAAACCCCACTCACCCCACCTCTTGTATTTGATCTAGTGGGATTCTTTGAACCCCACCTTACAGAACCCCACTCTGTACGTATATCCTCTCTCTATATCTTTTTCCATAGTTATTATTCTAGTCAAAACACTAACCATTCCATCTTCTGTAAAAAATGAAATGATGGAAAAAGGTTATTATAAAAAAAAGACCCCACCCAACCCACATCTTGTATTTGATCTGGTGGAATTCTGTGAACCCCTTCCTACAGAACCCCACTATGTACGTATATCCTCTCTCTTAGTTATTATTCTAGTCAAAACACTAACCATTCCATCTTCTGTAAAAAATGAAATGATGGAAAAATGTTGTTCCAATTTATAGGGGACGAGATAGGTCTCTTATTTCACAGTTGTGGGACTCAAACAAGGGCTATGAGTTTATTTTCGAATACACTCATTCAGTTGAGTATCTCATAATCCAAGTTCTATAGAAATCAATTTCACGAAGTTAAAAATTGTCAAAGTTCTTCTTATAAAGAGTGGAGTAAAAATCCATGAAATTTCAAAAAGTTTAATGTTTTAGAAAAAAAATTTCTCCTTCAAAATTTAATTATTTTGACTATCAAAGTGCATGGTTCATTCTTTTGTACATTAGACCAGTATCCTACTTCTCGTTTATAATGTTCGATCAGAGGTATTGCTCATTTTTCTCAAAATGGTTTCAAAATTAGTCCCAAACTTTCGGAATTGAGGAAGAGATCCTTCCCAGTCTAGTTTCTCAAGGTTTCAAAATATTTCCGAAAAAATGGAACTAAATTTCTTCGAGAACAAGAATATTAAATTTTTGAATTTTCAAGAATTTTTAAAGTATCTTGGATTATGTGTTGGGATTTTTATGTTAAAGCCGACACATAAACCAATTTTGGTCCGAAACATATTGTTCGACGAATCAAGATTAAGTGGCGGAAAAAGTTCACAGAAACAAGTGCCTGACCTAGATCAGTTTTGAGCATGGCTCGTGAATTACGAGCACAATCAAGTTAAGATGGCTAAGATAGCTTCAAAAGACCCCAGAAACAAGCTGATTTCCTAGCAAGGAAACAAACTAATGTTAGTGCTAGGACAATGTAAAGATCCAAAAGAGTGTGCACATTTAGCACAACACCCAGCTGTATTGGCGAAAACAGCATTAAGAACAACATCAAAGGCCTCAAAATCAATTTTAACTTTCGGGTAAGAGACAGAAGACTATGTCCAAAACAATGGAGATTATTGATATGGAATAAACATAGACGATATTTTGACTTTATTATTCAAGAAAATGAAATTCAAAAAAATATTCACGTGGTTCTTCAAAACAAATGGTCATCCAAGATTCTTTTCAAGATGTCAGAAAAAGAGAAATAATTGTCCTTTAATGTTTCAATTGGAGTTGATAATTGTCCTTGAAAAGAAGCAAGTGGCAGATAAGAGCTGATAGTTGTCCTTCAATGTAGTGATTTGATTGTCGTAGAGAAAATTCTCAAGTCCAAGCAATTTAGGATCTATTTGGGAGTGATTTTTCTTTTTAAAAAATTAATTTTTTGACTGTTATTTCATTATTTTAGCCGTCATATTTGACTTCTTCTCTCATAGGTGGACCTCACTTTTTTTAAAATCACTCCCAAATAGACTCTTAAGATCTCACGTAATTTCAAAAAAATAAGAATTTTTTCTACATTGTATCATTTGCAAGAATTCGCGAAATAATTTTTTTTTCCTTCTTTTTTGTTGTTTCTGAATGGCATCATAGCTATACGAGAAAAAGCGATGCTACCCACTCTGTCACAAAAGGGGGCCATTATCTTCTCCTTTAAAAATGTCTGTTCTACCATCAGGGTTCCAACAAGTAGGAAAATTCTGTTCTGAGGCTACATTTCATTCTAGCAGCAACATTATATATATATTACAACTAGTTTCTAGCATCCTGATTAATGGGATAGTGGGAGGAGGTCTCTGGTTCAATGTCACGTTAAAGGAAGGCTCAAAAGCCAAACAATTTGAATTGTGTAGTATTGTAGCTAACGCTCTATGTATCATGCCTCATTTTAGTCAATTTTGTGAGTTGATATTTTTTATTTTGTTTTGGAATTCATAATTAAATCTCATTTTTAGAGCTTGTGGATGTTCGTGTCTTTGTGACCCTTGTCTAGAATTTCATTACTTTCACGCAAGAGCTTTGTACGCTGACTTGTAGGTTTATTTTGTCAGAACTTGCATTAAGGTTACTATCAATATCCAAGACTCGAGGCCATCCAAGGCCCCCTTCATTTTTCTAGCCAAGCAACAAGGCCTCTATTCTTTTGCTTGGGAGATCTCGGGGGACAAAGTGTTCTTTTTGTCCAAAAAACCTCAACGATCGAGGTATAAATATTCATCTCCCGACACATGAGCACGTGATGCGATCCTTTTCATGATTGATGTGGCATTTTAAATGGACCATAATTATTTCAGTTTGTAACAAGGTTTGACACCTTAATGTCAACCCCTATACAACATACAGAATTTTCTTTGCTTCTTTTGATTTCTAATTTGCTAGAAATGGGAGCACTAAGAATAACTGTAAAACAGCCATTTAAAGCTTTGTATTAAAAAAAAAAATGCTTAAAGGGGTTTCTTAGTCCATAAATAACGAGGGAAGAGAGACAAGAGTGTGTGTGATGAGGACATCACCCTATTTGGCCATCTTATTTTGTTTTGGACTATTTTACTTTTGTTTCATTAGTTAGGTTTGTATTAATGGGTCTAGCAGCCTCTTATGCTTTTAGCTTTGCTTTCTCTATTTATATGGTTTTGTAATTGAAACATACGGGTTGATGAATGAAAATGAATATGCATAAGCTTGGTGATCAAGTTATCTCTTCGCCTCTCCTCCCCTCAATTTATTCTTCTTCTCCGAGTTTCTCCCCCCTTTTGCTCTGATTCTTCCCATTTTCTTGCTACTTTTTCTATACTTTTGCTCTTCTCGCTGTGATTCTACCGAATGCTTTCATGCCTCTTTGCTCTTAAGGATTCAATCTATTTTACTTTTGCTTTATTAGTTGGGTTTGTATTATGAGTTTGGCCCATGCCCCTTATGCTTTTAGGTTTGCTTTCTCCATTTATATGATTCTGTAATTGAAACAAATCAGTTGATGAATTGAAAATGAACATGCAGAAGCTTGGTGATCAAGTTTTCTCTTCCCATCTCCTCCTCTGAATTTCTCGTTCTTCTCCGAGTTTCTCCCTCCTTTCTTGCTGCCTTCTTCTTCTAATTCTGCTCTTTTTGCTGTGGCTCTGCTGAATACTTTTCTGCCTCTCTATTCTTAAGGAGATCATGTTGAGACCGATTGACCAATAATGCAGGAATTGAGATTTAATGAATATAATTTGTTGTAATTGAAGTAATTAACAGGATTACGAATAACCCAAGAACAAGATTAAAGTAAAAAAATAAAAGAACTGGCAGAGGAACGATGTTATTTTATTCAATTTATGAAAGGAGAGAATTACAATAATAATGGCTTCAACAATACTGAAAGAGGAGCCCTGTATTTATAGTATAAAATCTAGCCCTAAAAGAGTCCCAAAAAAGGTAAGAAATCT